CCAGGAGCCCGGCGGAGTGTCCATGGCGATGATGATGATGGACTCGTGGCATCAAATGTGAAGCTGGGCGGCTGGCGGGGGGACGAAGCAAGCAGGAAGCGGATCTAAGGTCCCTGTTGATCCATGGTCTCCTTGCAATTGAGTGGAGCGATTTGAGGCCTTGCTTTCGAGCTGTCCTCCGCCTTGCTGTTCTTTGGTGTTCCTGCAGAGCTGGAGACTGTTGTTCTGTGGTAGGAGCGCGCTATGTCATTGGTGGCATCGGCAGCACCTAGCGTCTATCTGGCTTATCTCACCAATTGGTGGCAGAAGCAAAAGGCGTAGCAATTCCAGAGAGCATGCCCAGTACAAACGCTACAAACTGCAAGGCGGAAACAGAAGGAATAATTGTAGTTATAAGCGGTAAGAAGACACTCTTGAACGATTACCGCACTACAGTCTGCCAGTTTTTGGCAAGGCGTAGAGACTGCCTCAAATCGTGGTATGCAATTTGCGCTGAAGACTGCGGCCCAGAGTGGTGCTTTGTCTACGGAACTTTTCCCTCTTCTACAATATCCCAATTCACTGGATTCTTCTCGGTAGCCTGCTGTTGTTGAAGACCGTAGTGCCATACATAATCTCAGGGCTCTTTACTCCATGCTTTGTGTTGTCTGAGTACTCAAGCAACTATCACGCCTATATAAAAATCAATGCCGTTATGTCGATTGTGCCACAGCACGTGTTGATCTGCTTGCTTGAGATCCATTCTCTTGCTCAGGGTCCCTTTTCAGGAGCAACAGTTGACCTGTCACCTGCTGAGTGTGTCGAAATACGAAAAAATAAAATAAAATCCATGCAATGCTCATCCTATCGACAGTCTTGCCTAACGAGGTAGTAATCCGATTTCAGAGTAAAAAAGAGACGTCTTATAACTGCCAGACCTCAGATCCTTTTTGAGATCATGCTCGCCATGAATGGAGAGCGTTCATTCTCTTCCTATCATATGTTTATTTTGGGAATCATCACTGGCCATGTTTATGAGGAGAGAAAAATCGGATTTGCAGAGACCCGCTTGCGAACAAAATATGCGTCCTCGACGCTTAGTCATCGGATTCACGCTAGGCCGATCAGAGCTAACATCCCCCAGCCTCACATACATTCTTCCACTCTTTTGACCATAACCTTGAACCTTGCACTTTTACAGCTCCTATTCGCGCTGCTGCACCTCCTTTGCGCAAACATTTCTTTTGTCCCAGAATCAGTCGCGTCTTTCAAGTATTCTTCCATGAGCGACTTCAACAATTACGGCGGCTCCGAAGAGGAGTACGCGTCGGTTCGCAAATTCGTTGCTGAAACGGTACGTCAGCCTCTGCCAATCGCTCGTTGTCACCGAACAGGCTGATGTTTGCCTGTTGCCTTTAATTGCTAACCCAATCATTCATCGCCTAGGAGACGAATCCGGACAACTTTGAGAGCTGGGAGAACCTGATCAAAGCCTGCGAAGCTCTCGACGGTGGCCTGAATAGAAATTCGAGCCCCCAGGCGCTCTCTACGATTCGCGATGCCTACGACCGACTTCTGCTCAAGTTCCCGCTCTTTTTTGGGTACTGGAAGAAATATGCCGATCTGGAATTCAATATCGCTGGCCCAGAGTCAGCTGAAATGGTGCGCTTGGAGAGTCCTTGTTTCAGCCCCTTTCTGCAAGGGTCGCGTGGTCGTGATACACTGCTAACGGGGACTGGATATAGGTTTATGAGCGAGGTTGCGCCAGCATAACTAACTCTGTCGATCTTTGGACCGACTACTGCTCTTTCAAGATGGAGACAACACATGACCCTACGCTGGTCAGAGAGTAAGTATTCAGGGCACTTTTTCCTTCCCCATAACGACTTCTACCAATGCAGTATCGCGCTTAAGCACCATGATTTCGGCTGTACACCTGTCAAGAGCTCTGCTGCTCACTATCGACCGTGTCTGATGGTGAGATATGCCACAGCGGCCCTATCATACCGGGATCTCTCTCTCACTCTTTTTCCCAGACTTTGTTGATATGTACTCTTCGTCCCATAACATTGCGTCGTGCTCCTACCGTTGTCTCCACTGGGGATCTAGAATTCGATTTCTACACTCCCAGAGGGCCACCACCCCTTTGTGTACTGACCCTCCTCTGTTCCCATACTCGCCAAACCCTTGCCCCCGTGAGCTCCCTACTGACATGGCTACACAGACTGTTTGAACGCGGAGCCACCTTTGCCGGTTTGGATTTCCTAGCCCATCCCTTTTGGGACAAGTACATTGAGTACGAAGAGCGACAAGAGGCTCAAGATCGAATCTTTGCCATTCATGCTCGAATTATCCGCATCCCTCTTCATCAATATGCTCGCTACTATGAACGGTTTCGAACTCTGTCACACACACAGCCTCTGACAGAGGTTGTGTCGGCAGATATACTGGCCAAGTTTCAGGCCGAGGTTGCGGCTGAAGCGGCTGCGTATGGTGGTGCCGAACGACCGGAGCTGGAGGTTGAAAGAGACGTTCGAGGAAAGATTGACGCCATGTACTACGAAGTCTTTACCCAGACACAAAACGAGGTATCAAAGCGATGGACATATGAGTCAGAAAATAAGCGACCATATTTCCATGTGACTGAGCTTGAACACAGCCAGCTCAATAACTGGCGCAAATACCTAGACTTTGAAGAGACTGAGGGCGACTTCAACAGAATCGTCTCATTGTACGAACGGTGTCTCGTTACCTGCGCTTTCTACGACGAGTTCTGGTACCGATACGCCCGGTGGATGGCAGAGCAGTCTGGAAAAGAAGAAGAAGTCCGCAACATCTATATTCGGGCATCAACTCTCTTCGTTCCTATTAGTCGACCGGGAATTCGTATGCAGTGGGCATATTTTGAGGAGAGCTGTGGCCGCGTAGACATTGCGCTCGATATCCATGCTGCTATCCTTGTTAAGCTTCCGGACTGCGTGGAGGTGATCATTTCCTCGGCGAACCTTGAGCGTCGCCAGAATGGCACCGAAGCTGCTATCCAAGTCCTCAAGGATCAGATTGATGCTCCAACTGTTGATCTGTATACCAAGGCCGCTCTTGTGGCAGAGTGGGCAATACTGCTCTGGAAGGGCAAGAACTCTACTGAAGAAGCCCGAGCAGTTTTCCTCAAGAACGTGCAGTGGTATGCAGACAGCAGGATATTCTGGGACAAGTGGTTCCAGCTTGAACTGGAGCAAGCCACGCCAGACAAGGAGGCAGAGACCCAGCAAGCGGAGCGCATCAAGCATGTCTTTGACGAGTTCCGCAGCAGAAGCCGGCTGCCAGCTCCAGTCAAGCGCGAACTGGCCCAAGTCTATATGAACTACCTCGTTCAACGCGGTGGCAAGGATGCTATGAAGGATTTCTTGGCCGTAGACAGGCAAATGTTTGGGTCCGTCAACCATGCGACCTCCCAAGAAACGGAAGGATTCCAGCTAACACTTAGTCACAGGCCTGCGTCTGTTGCGACGGCGTCAAAAAGTGCAACTGGCGCCAAGGAGAATGGAGCATCACTCGGAGAGCTAGATGCAGACAGCCAGCGCAAAGCTCAAACCAGATACCTAAACTTTTACGAAGCCCACCCAGAGGCTAATGCGGAGGCCCAGGGCTCTGCCGATCCCAATTAGTATAGTTTAACGGGTAGACGACAAGCTGGACAGGTCATTGCGGACACTGCCGCCGGTAATATTGACAGTTCCAGAGCGTCGAGTTAAGATGTTATATCGTTACACCAAGGTGTTGACCGCTGGTTGTTTTATATCATTTGCTGGACACTACAAGGAGTGGCGGATTTCTTTGCTAGCAGACAGATTTGGATGCGAACCGCGAATGATATGGAGGTGGTTTTGTCTTTGTTTTTCTTTAAACTCACGTATGGTAATTATATCGTCTTCCCGAAAGGAGCCGCAGATGGGTTGACTCTGCTTCAAAAGGGAATGTCCCGCTGAAATGCGAATGATGTCTCTATGAATCTAATACACGAAAATGAAAGTCGATGGCTCAAAAAGATTAAAACTAAGTACCTAATAAGAAAATAAACCTACATTTATGGGGCAATGGTTGAATTGCGTTCTTGACCTATGAAATATTCTAAACTGATAAATATTAGTAGCTTGTAGAGCAATGAATCATTTGTTTACTTGTATTCCTTCACGAAAGCTCAGGTTAATACCCGCAAAGCACGAGACCGAGGTACATGTCGCCTCAATCTCTAGTATTATATCGGTAGAGCAAATATACCAGTAACTCTTGACAAGCCACATACGCGGGAAATACAGGGACCAAGCTTTTATGGCCATGACTCCACGTGGCTCGCCGACGCATACCGCATACAGAAAGCAGCTGCGAGGTACCTTCGCTGACGAAATTCACTCAAGCCAATGACTCTCCTCGCTCAAGCTTGCAAATGCCCACAGCGGCTCTGTGTTTTTTACCCTTTTCTGATCTAGCGCCTCTGTCATCAGGGTCCTCCTTTTTTCATCGCCAGGCACAAGGCGTTACGCTGACTTGCCGCCGTCTCATGTTGTCAAATAAGCCCCACGCCACACACTCGCAGCTAAAAACCACTTTTTCTTAGTTGGGGCGTTTCTTCTTTTTTTGGTTTGTCTCGGCTTTCCGCTCGGCTGTCTTCCCCAATCAAGGTGGCGGAGCGGGAATAAGAGAAAGCAGAAAGGAAAAGGGAAATGACGACCTTGGGCTGAGGAATGATGAATTATGAGTGGGTGAGCCGGAAGAGTACTCGATATCTAGACTACAGCATGCTGATAACGGCGGGATGGTGGTGGGGGAGGGGAATTGGGCGGAGAGACAAAGTGCCTTGAGGAGTTTTTAGTTCTCAGCAGCAAGATATAACACGGGTAGAACGGGCACTCTAGCTAATGATAAAAAAGCGAGACATTGGAGTAGACGCAAGAAATAAGCATCGCAGGATTCGAAAAAACGCGGAGCCGGAGGGCGGACGCCCGAGATGGCATGATTTTGTCTTTTTGGGGCGGCTGCGGCATCGTTGACGGAGCATGGATGGCAGAGGCTTGCGGCATGAATTGAGAGCCGTGATTGGCTGCTTTGAGTCAGAGGAGAAGTAAGATGCGAAAGACGGAGGGGCGATTCGGCACATGGGGGAGAGGAACGGAGAAGGAATCGACGACGGCTTACGAATTCGTAAGAAAATGCTCTCTCTCATGCTGGCTTGTGAATGTGTTGGTGCCCTGAGAGGCTGGCGTTACAGTAGGAGGTATGTCGGTACTTGTTCCAGCAGCGCAGGGTCCAAGAAAGATTTGGGGTTTGGAGGAGGGGTTCTTTTTTTTTTTTTTTTTGTTCTAATCTTCAGGGCGTACCACGACACAACGCCGAACTCTTTTTCTTGCGTCAACAGATGCATACAGACAATTCACCAACGCCCGTCTACATCTCGTTTCAATAGCCCAGATTTCGATATCAAGAACCTTCCGAGCCCCAGCGTCAGAGCGTGGAGCATCTCCGCTGGGGGGCGGGTCTGACCACGCCCAGCTGGCCACTAAGGCATTTCCAATTTGCATCGTTGACTATTGTGGCAGAGGGTCCTTTGTTTTCCAGAGTCCCGATCCTCTTTTTCTTTTCCTCGAGTACATAATACATTTCCTCCGTCTTCCACCCTTCCCCCGGGCTATATTACCTCCCACCCTCCCCTTCCTCCATCTTCCTTTTTCTCTTTCGCTGTTTCGGCGTATCCTCTCCAATCCCACAGTCAAGGTGAGCAACACATGTTTCCCTTTCTCTCTCATATCTTCTCTCCAGGAAGATACATGAGAGGCGGCCTTAGGCTCGGAGGCGCCCTGATAACCGTCATTGGGCTCTTGATCCGGCTGCTTCCCCATGCCCAAATAGACCCTTCACTCGCTCGTCCGTTCACGACATCGCTGACCTTTTTGCTTGTCTCATCCTCCAGATGGCCTCCTCTGCCCGTCAGTTTGCCCGCGTGGCAACCCGCACCACTACCCGATCCTTCGCTGCTGCTCCTCGACAGGCTTTCCGCCAGCAGGGCCGCCGCTTCTACTCCTCTGAGCCGGAGAAGAAGTCCAACCCTGTTGTCTACCTCGGTCTCGCTGCCGCCACCGCTGGTCTGGGTATCTGGTTCTTCACCTCTGGTGCCTCTGCCTCTTCCAGCAGCTTCGTTCCCACCCAAGCCCACTACCAGCAGGTCTACAACGACATTGCCAGCCGCCTGGAGGTCGAGGACTATGATGACGGCAGCTATGGCCCCGTGCTGGTGCGTCTCGCATGGCACTGCAGCGGCACCTATGACAAGGAGACCAAGACCGGTGGTAGCAACGGTGCCACTATGCGATTTGCTCCCGAAAGCGGACACGGTGCCAACGCCGGTCTGATTGCTGCTCGTGACTTCCTCGAGCCTATCAAGGGTGAGTCTCTTTGCTGGATTCCATGTTGGTCCCATGCCCAACGCTAACAACTTGCTGCAGCCAAGTACCCCTGGATCACCTATTCCGATCTCTGGATCCTTGGCGGTGTCTGCGCCGTCCAGGAGATGCTGGGACCCAACGTCCCTTACCGACCCGGCCGTCGCGATAACGACGCTGCTGCCTGCACTCCCGATGGCCGTCTGCCCGACGCCAGCCAGGGCCCCAAGCACCTGCGTGACATCTTCTACCGCATGGGCTTCGACGACCGAGAGATTGTCGCCCTCAGCGGTGGCCACGCCATCGGCCGATGCCACTCCACCCGATCTGGCTACGAGGGTCCTTGGACCTTCTCCCCTACCGTTGTGACCAACGACTTCTACCGCCTCCTTCTTGAGGAGAAGTGGCCCCAGAAGAAGTGGGACGGCCCCAAGCAGTACGAGGACAAGACCACCAAGACCCTCATGATGCTTCCCACCGATATTGCCCTGGTCCAGGACAAGGCTTTCAAGCCTTGGGTTGAAAAGTACGCAGCCGACAACGACCTGTTCTTCAAGGACTTCTCTGGCGTTCTCGTCAAGCTGTTCGAGCTCGGTGTTCCTTTTGCTGAGGGCAGCGAGAACAACCGATGGACCTTCAAGTCCACCAACGCTTAAGCTCCTGAATTCATATAGATGTGAAGAGGAGATGGCGTAGGGAACTGGCATTGTCAATACGGAGCGTGGAATATAGACCTAAAAGTGGTTTTTTTTAGACATGTATAGACATGTAGAGCCTACTTACGGCATGAGAGCTGTTACAGTCAGGCAAGGGGACCAGCTGGGAAAAAGGGCATAAGCTGGGAAAGCTTGTAATGGCCCTGGCTTTGTTTTTACCGCATTTTGTTCAGATTTGCGACTTTGTTGAGCTCGATTGGGCTTTTTTTCGTTGTTTCATTTTATACCTCTGCCAATGCTCTGTACTTTAGCAAAATAGAAGACAAGCTGTTTATGTTCCCAAACTGCACGATGATTCGTAACCGAGTGACTGCTCTATGCACAAGTGATTTGGAGAATGGATGATTGATGGACGGATGATGGAAGCGGAGAAGATGACACGGCTCGAGTTGAAATGAGGAGGCACGGCCTGAATTGTGCACAAATGCTACTTTGATGCAGTTTAAGTATCTACCTGCTGCTCTAATGCCTCCTCTCTAGCCGTTCTTTACATAACATTCGGAGTTATAAGCCAATTGCAATTGGTTCAATGGGCTCAGATCTCCCATGACGGGTCTATGTTCCCCGCACTTTCGGGTCTCAAGAGGCTGGGAGGTTTTGAGTGATTCTTATTTGCTGGATCGCTTGGTGATGAGCCGAGGATCAGCCTTGGGCAGCATTTGGTGATTAGTGCGTTGAAAAGAGGAGAGATTTTGGTGCTGGATGAGATGCTGAACGATGTACAGTAGGCATAGAAAGAGGCTGGATGTTGGTGGTTCTTATCAGGTGCATGTTGGGCTTCAGCTTTTGATAAGCTTTTTCCGAACTCTAGGCTGTAGATTGCAGGAAATTGGATTGACAGGTTCCTATCATTGCATATTTTCGACTTGCAACAACATTCACCATACAATCGTTTCATATTACCTGCATGCTACTCGATTAATACCTTTTTTTTTTTTTGACTCTTGCTTTATCATGAATATCTTGGTTGAATTAGATGCAGAGTTGAAAACATCATTCCATGTATTTATTAATTATTTCCACAGGCGGCCCGGTCAGATCTCTCCAGTGTCTTTGGGTGGCGCATTGTTCACAGGCGATGTGACCACAATGCGTGATGACGGGCGATTTACACTCGCCATCACAGAACATGCAATTTGGAGGAGTGGTAAGAATCTTGATTTCGAGTTTATTCAAGATAATAAAAGTCTAATTGAGAATTTGACAAGAAGAGAAGCAACATTTACTTTGTCAAATGATTTGGAATTAGGGAAAAAGGCCTCTCCCCTCCTTTTTCACCCCTCTTTTACAAATGCAGATGAATATCTAAGCTATTTCATAATCAATGGCAGAGACAAGGTCCGCTATATTGGCAAAGCGAAAGAGAGAGCGAGCCTAGAGAAGCACGTAATTTTTGTTGACCATGATCTCATTAACACGAGTCCAACGTTACCAAACTAGCAACACCAAATGTGAAACTTGATTCGATGCACTTCTTCAATCTCATTCCACTGTTTAAGGATATGACCCAGTTAAGAGGGCAAGATTCAAAAGTTTCAATGATCTAAAAGATAGGGACGTTGAGGGTGTCTTGGTAATGTTTAGTAGTATATGCTCTCTGCCGAGGGCCCCGTCTTCATATCGGAATCGGAAGATCCATGCAGCCAAAGCCAAGGGAGTTAAACGCTGCGGATACGGCCGTCTCTAAAGGGTAAAGAAAGACGTGAATCAAACGAATGGTGCCGCTTCGAGAAACGCGAGAGCGAAAGCGAAATGGAATGGAATTTTCGATGGAAAGTTGGGAAGCGGGCTAGCCGAGAGAAACGATGGGCAGTCAACCCAAAATGCTGAAGGGAGCGAGAACGAAGAGAAACCCGATACAGTTCGGAAAACGGCCAGATAGGTAGATCTAAACCCCGTAGTACCGGCGCTATAACGTGCCTGAGTAATGGAGAGGGCAACTTGACCCGCCATATTATTTAAGCAGCATCGCCTTGTTATTATTCAGCAGGCTTCTAAAGCCCCACGACCGGCTTCCCTATTCGAGGAAAAAAATTCAAAAGAAGCACAGAGAAGAATACTGTAGCAAGCCACAGCAGCGGTAGACGGGGGCGACTAAAGCTGGGCAACTTTGGCCGCAGCAAATGGGCAGCCCTACGGCTATTGCCGTCACAGCTAGTACCAAGCAAGCCAAGTTTACAGAGCTCCATCCGCAAGATTATCGATTTGGCTCCCCTGCTGTGGCACGGAACATGATGCCGAACGATTGGCGCGAGCGAGAACGAGACTCTGCTGCTTTGGTAATCTGCATCTGGATCGGACATTGGAGAGGAGCCTTTGGAGAGTTTTCGGCCGGTTTCTGTCGCATCGAGCCGTGGACCAGATTGGAGGGCGTGCGGGGCAACCTTTGCAGCATCAGGATACACCTATATAAAGTCGAGAGGACTGCAGCTGAACATGTGGGAACGGAATACAAAGCATAGCATCGTTTGCATTTATCCAAGCAAGAAACACCCTTTCCTCTTTTCTGTTTACAGTACTGCACCTTGAAACTATATATATCTGGGCACCCGCCTATAACATCATACCTCATCCACGCATATTGTCCTCCAGGCCTTCAGCGTTGCACTTTGCATACATTGACGACCACATAAATCCATTACCGTCCTTGTAATCAATACAGCAACACAACCAGCAATATGGGCAGCATCGGCACCAGCAGCACCCTGGAGAACACTCCCGCGCCTGGAGTGCCCTTCTACACTCCGGCCCAGAACCCCCCAGCCGGCACGCCTGTAGACAAAACATCGGCCCCGACCCTCTTCACGCCGCTGCGCATGCGCTCCGTCGAGCTGCACAACCGCATCGTCGTGTCTCCCATGTGCCAGTACAGCGCCGACAACGGCCACCTGACCGACTACCACCTGGTGCACCTCGGCCAGCTGGCGCTCCACGGCCCGGGCCTCATCTTCGTCGAAGCCACCGCCGTCGAGCCCCGCGGCCGCATCTCCCCCCAGGACTCTGGCCTGTGGCAGGACTCCCAGATTGCTCCTCTGCGCCGGGTCACCGACTTCATCCACAGCCAGGGCGTCAAGGCTGCCATCCAGATTGCCCACGCCGGCCGCAAGGCGAGCACTCTCGCTCCTTGGATTGGCGGCACTGCGAACAAGGCCGTGGCCGATGAGAGCGTTGGCGGATGGCCAAATGACGTTGTTGGCCCTAGTGCGATTCCCTTCCACGAGGACCACGCCCATCCCAAGGAATTGACTATCCAGGAGATCAAGGGGCTTGTCCAGAAGTTTGCCGAGACTGCCAAGCGTGCGGTTGAGGCTGGCTTTGATGTCATTGAGATCCACGGTGCTCACGGATACCTCGTCAACGAGTTCCTGTCGCCTCTGAGCAACGTAAGTTGTCACTTATCGATGGTGATTATTGAAAGAAATCACAGTGACTAACACGCATATAGACACGAACTGACGAGTACGGCGGAAGCTTTGAGAACCGCACCCGCTTCGTCCGCGAAGTCACCGAGGCCGTCCGCGCCGTCATCCCCGAGACCATGCCCCTCTGGCTCCGCGTCTCCGGCACCGAGTGGATGGAGTGGGCCGGCCAGCCCTCGTGGACCGTGGAGGAAACCATCAAGCTCGCCAAGCTGATCCCCTCATGGGGCATCGACGTCCTGGATGTTAGCAGCGGCGGCAACAGCTACGGGCAGCAGTTCCCCGACTCCAAGTCCTTCCAGATCGACATTGGACGCACCGTGCGCAAGGCCCTCCGCGCCGAGGGCATCGACCTGACCATTGCATCCGTTGGCTTCATCACCGACTCCAAGATTGCCCACGACGTTGTCCAAGAGGGCCCCGAGGCTGCGGCCGACCTGGCCCTGGTGGCGAGACAGTTCCTGCGAGAGCCTGAGTGGGTGCTGAGAGTGGCTCACGAGCTCAAGGTGGCTGTCAAGTGGACGAACCAGTACTCAAGAGCTGGACCGCGAACGGACTTTAGCAAGAAGTTTTAAAGGCTTTTGGCGATAAGGAAGCATACGAATGGAATCGGATAACGCATGGGATAGACGTGAAAAGTTTCAGCGTCGTTTTGCTACAGAGTTATCCATAGAAGGCATATACTCTCGATGCATTTTTGCTCACTTTATATTATTTGATAGCTAATTTAAACTTGATCTTCACTATGACATCTAAATATGCTTTTTATTTTCGTATTTATAGCACTGTCATCAGCGCTAAGGGATCCGTATGATGGATGTATACATGTACATGTAGGTAGTTTTCAACACAGCCATGGTGATCCTGAGATGATCTTTCCATGTTTGTCTGTTGATTTGGCATATGTCATATCTGATCCTTGAACTTTACCGTCTCCTGTTTCTTGGCAAGGATCGCGGGTGAGGCTCGGGTGTGAGCGTGATTGACTGCACGGCTATTTATCCTCCGAACTGTATACCGACTCATGTCTCATTATGGAGAGGAAGCTAGGGTGATATCAACCGTTATAGTATTGGCAATACTAGTGGTAATTGCACCCATGTCTGACGCTACTTGCGGGTAGGGAAGAATGCCGATCGCCCTGTATATACCCATTATAGCCACAATGTGTTGGACATGACTGCCAACGCTACTATATTACTCCGTATTACCACAACTACTAACCCATAGGTAGGTACATATTTACAGTAGGGTATTGCCATTTCACCTTAAGCTACATGTCTTCTGGTCAGTGGCTACAGCCCATGCCAGCGGGGCGGCTGCGCATCCGATGCTGGGGCAGTGGGACTGACGCGGTTGATGCAGGATAAAGTATACAAGGATGGAGTCGGATGATTGCTTACATTGCACATAGGCCTAGGTTTTGCTGCATTAGGCACTACCTGAGAGCACAGTGCTTGATATCTGACGTGTCTACATGTACCTCCTTGCATGCTCAGGCATTCTCCAAGCCAATGGCGATGGAAGGGCAGGAATTCAGACATCAACCTCTTCCTTCGTAATTCTTCAGCCAATATTATCCAAATACTCTCAATATCATCTTGACGTTTGTGCATACGCCACCGGCTATTAACCAGTCCACTTGATGTGGGGATGCCGTCAAGACGCAGCCGCAGAGCCGCAGCCGGTGAACCTGTACAGTTGGCAAAGTGTCCTCTTCTAGACTCCGTACAACGTCCAATGCTCCGTATAAATTCCAACATCGGACGTCCCGCCCGCATTAGCAAGAGGATTATCTACCTCCCTATGTCAGGTAGTACACGCCACCGCGGGCAATAGCGCTCCATATCGACCCTTTAGCCTTTGCTCGCCCTGCAGATTGTCTCGTCCACAGCCTCTTGGCCAGCCGTAGCGCTAGCCGCTATTGGCGGCTGCGATGGCACTGCGAGGCTCTAGCACCAGGGGGCTTAGCGCTCGCCCTCCACTCACAGCTTGGCAAGGCCTACAGGAGGGGCAGCTGTTATGGAGTACAAGGCGCTGTATGCCGCTTGGCTGGCGGCGTCCATGTCACGTACCGACATGTATATGTATCCGGCAGACAAGAAGCGATGTGGCCTGTTTTGAGTCGGCAATGTCGTCTAGCTAGAGGCCCTGCGCAATCAGGAAAATCAGATAGTAATCATGCCCAAGCCCGACGCTTTAAAACTGACGGGTCAGAAAGCCATCAAACTCAGGTGGCTCGTACAGTGTTTTAGCGAGAGCAACCGCAGGTGAAACTTTTGGATTTGTCAGGTGGCGACCAGGTACCGTTCATAGATCGATGGCCAGAAAAATGTACCTCTGGGGGGACAAGAAGGCTGGGAAGCGCTGTAGCGGCCTTCCCTCAGAGGGCGGCATTAGTGGACGCTGGGCCCAATTTTAGGCTGGAGAAGGGTGTGGTTCAAGGGACCGGCTGAACCCATCAGCATTACTGGTAGCCAGATCTGGCCAAAGGGACACTTGTTCAATTGAGCGTCTAAGTCATCCGTGCTGCCAACAGATTCTGCGACCTACAAAACCTCCTTCGTCGTCCATCTTCTTGCCACGGAATTCTTTTCCTGCATCACCACTTTTTTTTTTCCCTTTTTTCCCCTAGATACCCATCACAGTCCTTCACTATGCATCACAAGCGTCTTGCTTTTGGCCTGATGGGCGCCATGGCCGCCGTGGCCACTGCCGAGTCCGACGTCACCCAGCTGACCGGAGAGACCTTCAACGACTTCATCAAGGGCAATGATCTCGTCCTGGCAGAGTGTAAGTCTCTATCCATCTGCCTCTTGTTTTCCGCTGCTTGAACGCTTTGCCTCTACCCCGCCAGCCACCGGCAATGGACCCCGCTAACATCGTCATCTCCAGTCTTCGCTCCCTGGTGCGGCCACTGCAAGGCTCTCGCCCCCGAGTATGAGGAAGCTGCTACTACGCTCAAGGAGAAGAACATCAAGCTCGCCAAGATCGACTGTGTCGACGAGGCTGAGCTCTGCAAGGAGCACGGCATCGAGGGTTACCCCACCCTCAAGGTCTTCCGTGGCCTTGAGCAGGTCTCTCCTTACACTGGTCAGCGCAAGGCTGGTGGCATCACCTCATACATGGTGAAGCAGTCACTTCCCGCGGTCTCTGTCCTGACCAAGGACACCGTTGAGGACTTCAAGACCGCCGACAAGGTTGTCCTGGTCGCCTACATCGCTGCTGATGACAAGGCCTCCAACGAGACCTTCACCTCTGTTGCCGACGAGCTGCGTGACACCTACCTCTTCGGTGGCGTCAACGATGCTGCTGTTGCCGAGGCTGAGGGCGTCAAGTTCCCTTCCATTGTCCTCTACAAGTCCTTTGATGAGGGCAAGAACGTCTTCGCCGAGAAGTTCGACGCTGAGGCCATCAAGTCTTTCGCCTCCGTTGCCGCCACTCCCCTCGTTGGTGAGGTCGGCCCCGAGACCTACGCCGGCTACATGTCTGCCGGTATCCCTTTGGCTTACATCTTCGCCGAGACCCCAGAGGAGCGTGAGGAGCTTAGCAAGTCCCTCAAGCCCATTGCTGAGAAGTACAAGGGCAAGATCAACTTCGCCACCATCGACGCCAGCAGCTTCGGCTCCCACGCCGGCAACATCAACCTCAAGACCGACAAGTTCCCTGCCTTTGCCATCCACGACATTGAGAAGAACCAGAAGTTCCCCTTCGACCAGGAGAAGGAGCTGAAGGAGAAGGACGTCGCCAAGTTTGTTGACAACTTTGCCGCTGGCAAGATTGAGCCCAGCATCAAGTCTGAGCCCATTCCCGAGACCCAGGATGACGCTGTCTACACTGTCGTTGCCCACACCTACAACGACATTGTCCTTGACGACAGCAAGGATGTCCTCGTCGAGTTCTACGCTCCCTGGTGCGGTCACTGCAAGGCTCTTGCCCCCAAGTACGAGGAGCTCGCCAGCCTGTATGTCAACAGCGAGTTCAAGGACAAGATTGTCATCGCCAAGGTTGACGCCACCAACAACGACGTCCCTGATGAGATCCAGGGCTTCCCCACCATCAAGCTCTACCCCGCCGGTGACAAGAAGAACCCTGTCACCTACAGCGGCGCCCGCACTGTTGAGGACTTTGTCAAGTTCATCGAGGAGAACGGCAAGTACAAGGCCACTGTCAAGGTCCCTGAGCCCCCTGTTGAGGAGACCACCTCCGAGGAGAAGAAGGCCGAGGACGAGCACGATGAGCTGTAAAGAAACAAAAAAAGTAAAACGAAATAAGTAAAAACTGTATAATTGTGGGATTTGATTCTTGACGAAACGAACGTCGGCGCTGGTTAATGGACTATCTAAATAAGTACTAGCAATTGCATACTGGCTTTACGCCCATCAGGGGCATTGCTTTGAAATCATTCGAATTTGATCACCAACTTGAAAGAAATTGACTGTTCGTTCCAATTGCCTTGTGAATTATACCTTGGTGAAAAAAGTATCGTCCTTTTACAAGTGAACATGAACTGTACTTTTACTGCTTTGTGTGGTAGAGAGATATGAGTAGGTACTTTGTAGTGTTGAGAGGTACAATTTACAGGCTTCATTTTGCTATGAAAGGACAAGACAAGAAATTGCCATTATGCTGTTTCGTTTCTGCCATACTGGCGATGATATGACAGTGCCTTGTGACAATGTCTTTTTCCTTCCCTATGGATCTGCGCCATTCAATTTTGCTTTGTTTTTTTATTTGTCCGCTTCAGGCTTTATTTTCTCTTCTGTTGGATCTTCTCCTCAAGGATCTTGACGTGGTTTGTCAGGCGGGTGACGGAGGCTTGGAGAGTCTGGTTGATGATTTTGTTAGCTATAGTTCGATTCATACAGCCCCAGAGCTGCAGAGAGGGTGGATGAAGAGGGAGTTTATGGTCGCGAAATGCCAAGCTCGCCCAGGGCATGTAGACAAGGTAGACGTACGTAAATGTCCTCAGTGAGGAGCTCGTTGGACGCCTTGTACTCCTGCAGGACGTAGCTGTATACGGAGCCGCCGGCCAGGACACTTCCAAACAGGAAGCCGAACAGACTTGAGATATCCCGTCAGTAAGAGCTGTATCTGCAATCCGTCGCATCATAGCTGCGGCAATCTCGTTCCGCTGACATACCCTCCTCTGAATGCGCCCATGGGCTTTCTAGCCGGCAGCGGCGCAGCATCGTTCAGGCGCTGGGCCGAGGCATGGAAGCTGCGTGATGAAGTAATGGCACGGCGAGCGCCGCTGGCGAGTATTCTTGATGATGATGCTGCGAACATGGCGAATTGGGTGGCGAGGGAAAAGGTGATTCGAAGCTTCGACGAAAAAAGGTACTTTGAAAAGTCGGAATAAGTCTTGGTTGGGTATTCGCGGGTGCAGCTTGAAGGGGATTGGAAGCTTACATGAGGATGTTTTGCTGTTGCTGGCTTAGAATTTGGGATCTGCCGCGGCTATTAAGGTCTTGAGTTCCAGCATCATCACAGACGTACCCAGCTTGCGGACACGGCGGGTTACGGGCTTTTTAGCTGAAGCGGCGCGGGTTGTTCCGGCGGAGGATAGCCCGGCAGCTCCCCAGAGCTGCTGCTTTTTCTCTCGCCGCTGCGTACCTTTTTTGCCCCACGGACTTCCAACTGCCGTGCCATCTGTTTATTGCTAAGCCTCTACATATCGCGCCTGTGGATGACGGGATGATGCTCTAGAGCTCTACAAGCTTCCATTGCCAGTCTTTGGAAGCTTATCACATAATTTCCAATGTCCCTTTGTTGACTCTTCGGCGTCCACCTACAACCCACACGGCCAAGCTCACGCGACCGATTTCGCAAGGAACCATGAACAACTTCGGGGTCATCGAACTCGCCAGTGCCAAAACCACGTCGGCTCCCGGATGGGCCTACGTTCCTGACACTGGCATACTCCCCGGATCCAACGCCTTGCAGCCAGCGAACCGGAAACGAGCTCGCAATGCGCCCGCGGGCGTGACGGTTGGCGACTTGACGGCGCGGCAAGAAGCCAAGATTCGGAAGGAGATTGAGGCGCTGGAGCGAGATGGTGGAAAGGATATTGCGATACCGATACCCGCAAAGAGCGGCAAAGGTATGTGAGAATGCGCCAGGAGCGCTGTGCAAGGCAAAGACACAAAAAGGCTGATGGGCGAAAACTGGCGCTGCAGCTCCTGGAAAGCATACACCAAATGTACGAAAGATCCTACAGTCACAAAAGACATTCTCGAATCACCTAGACGACTTTCTGGCGATACAAGCGCAGGTCGAGGGCGGCCCGGCTGCTGCGGGTAACAACCGACCAAGCAACGCGAGCTCCAAGCGACCAGCAAACAAACGAGATGCCACCGCCGCGTCTACACCCACCGGAAGCGCCAAGCCGACGCCAGGCCTACAGGAAGAGGACATTACAATGGCAGACGCAGATCTTCCCCCGGTATTGGTCGGGCAGTATGGACCACCCCCAGCGGCGCATCCGGGCGACAACGATCCATTGCTGGCATCTCGCGTGCCTGATCTGCCGTCAGACGAAGAGCTGAGGAAGCTGCTTGCCCACCCACCGCTGACATATTATGAGACTAGAGGCAAGTGGGAGGACAACTACCCTACGCGAGTGTTCTGCGAGGTGTGCGGATATTGGGGACGGGTGCGGTGCATGAAGTGCGGGACCAGGGTTTGCGCGCTGGACTGTCTGGAGACGCATAGAGAGGAATGTGTCACAAGATACGGGCTGTGAGATACTCTCTCTGCAGCTGATATGGTATTCGAGTTGGAAGATTGAAAGGGGTGGATACTGTCTACCTGCTATGGTAGGGTTAAGGAACGAGGCAACGGCTTTGAGGTTGCATTCCACGGCGTTTGGACGGAGTTGTTGGATTTGGAGCGGCACTGATACTGATACCCAGTCTTTTGGAATGCGAATTCATACAAATTAAACGACTTTACTTGCTTTTGTCTATGAGTCTTGCATATCACTGCAATGGCTCCGATATCCGGCCCAGTTGATATGAGGCGTAGACGATTAGTGACTCAAGGCGGGAGTTTTAAATGAAAGTTAAATAAATCCCAAAGCTTATAATTAGAATTGACGGATGAATTAATCATCTCATGATATAAATCCTCCAATTATACCACCTTTGACTCAGAACATCCCGGCACCAGACTCCGAAGATCTGCCGCTTGTAACTTTGCCGCGACGTTGCTGTGAGTCAACCCCACCTCGCGCCTAAAAGATTAAGTACTAAGGGTATTTTCCTGCCCCTCCATAAGACGGAAAGGCCAAACAGCCAACTTTCTTTTCTTTTGCCGTGTCGCAACACCAAAAAAAAGAGAGCATCACCAACAATGTCTTCCGAGAACGTCGATGCCCCCAAGGCGGCAGAGGGCGCACCCGCCCAGAGCCTGCCTTCAAGACCTGCGAAGCAGCCCAAGGAGAAGAAGGCTGGCGGCGGCAAGGCTTCAGTTGAGGTATTGCGCTTTTGACTTGGTCTCCAACACTCTTCGACGACAATTAATACTGATGAATCCTTTCTTTCTTGCAGCTCCCTGCCCTGCCCGACTTTATCCAACACCGCATTGCCATCTTCGACAAGATCAAGGCCAAGCGAGACGCCGAGATTGCTGGTGCGTTGCTGCAACAGACTACACCACCCCACCATCATGACCTTCATGATTTATTTTTCCCCAGCTTGCTGATGTCTGGACATTTTTATAGCCAAGCCCCGTGAGGAAATCACCGTTTCCCTGCCCAATGGCAAGGAGGCGAAGGGTATCTCATGGGAGACCACCCCTGGCGCCATTGCCAAGGGCATTTCGAAGTCATTGTTCGAACGCACCGTCATCTCAATGGTTGATGGAGAGCTGTGGGATCTTACAAGGCCGCTTGAGAAGAGCTGCAAGCTGGAGCTGATTGATTTCGAGAACGAAGAGGGTATGTACAGGCAAAGACTATCTAGTCGAAAACGGGAGACTGTTATATGGAGAATCGGAGCTGACTGCTGGATCTAGGCAAGAAGGTCTTTTGGCACTCTTCGGCTCACGTCCTCGGTGAGGCTGCCGAGAGGCGATTCGGCTGCTACCTCTGCAACGGTCCCCCTACCACCGACCCCCCTGGATTCTACTACGATATGGCCAACATGGAGAAGTAAGGAATACTCTTCCTTTGAAGGATTGGGCTAGTTGCAAGTCGCTAACTGTTACTGTTCAGCCAAGTCGTTCAGGAGGAGGACAAGAAGGCTTTGGAATCTCTGGCCAACTCCATTATCAAGGAGAAGCAGCCCTTTGAGCGTCTGGAAATGACCAAGGATGAGCTCCTCGAGATGTTCAACTACAGCAAGTACAAGGAGTATTTCATCAACCAGCGAGTTCCTGACGGTACTCTGAGCACTGTCTACCGATGCGGCCCTCTTATCGATCTGTGCAGAGGTCCTCATGTTCCTACCACCGGAAACATCAAGGCCTTCACCGTCCTCAAGGTATGTGTTTTGCCGTAACGAAGTTTGCTACGTAGCCTTGCGTACACAGATTTGCTCATGCCTCTCTTATAGAACTCTGCCGCATACTGGCTTGGCAACAGCGCCAACGAATCCGTTCAGCGAATTTCTGGTGTTTCTTTCCCTGACAAGAAGCAGCTTGAGGAGTACAAGACATTCCTTGAAGAGGCTGCGAAGCGCAACCACCGAAAGATTGGTCTGGAGCAGAAGCTGTTCTTCTTCGACGAGGTTTCTCCTGGATCCACCTTCTTCTTGCCTCACGGCACCAGAATTTACAATGCTCTGATGGAGTTGATCCGGGGCGAGTACAAGAAGAGAGCCTTTGACGAGGTTATCAGCCCCAATGTTTACAAGTCTGACCTCTGGAAGACCTCTGGCCATTGGGGACACTATGCTGAGAACATGTTCACCTTTGATGTTGAGAAGGAGACTTACGGCTTGAAGCCGATGAACTGCCCTGGACACTGCAGAATCTTTGCCCACTCAGATGTCACTTACAAGGATCTGCCATGGAGGATGGCTGATTTTGGTGTTCTCCACCGAAACGAGTTCTCTGGAGCTCTTTCAGGACTCACCCGTGTGCGCCGTTTCCAGCAGGATGATGCGCACATCTTCTGCACAGTCGACCAGGTATGCTAAGTAAACCTAGTGACATATAAGGCTGATAACTGACTGCTTGTAGATTCGCGATGAGATTGTGGGCGCTTTTGACTTCCTATACAGCGTCTACGGCCTGTTTGGTTTCTCCTTCAAGCTAAAACTCTCGACCCGCCCCGAGAAGTACATTGGCGAGATTGCCATCTGGGATATGGCTGAGGCCAAGCTCAAGGAGGCCCTGGATAACTTCACCCAGAAGATTGATTCTAAGTGGGAGGAGAACCCTGGTGACGGTGCTTTCTACGGCCCCAAGATTGACATCACCGTGTACGATGCCCTGCGACGAGAGCACCAGTGCGGTACGATCCAGCTCGACTTTAACCTGCCCCAGCGATTCAAGCTGCGTTACGTTGCCGCCAAGGACGAGAGCAGCGCCAACCAGAACAGCAACGATCCCGAGCTGCCAGTTGGCTATGCCCGACCTGTCATGATCCACAGAGCCGTGCTGGGTAGTTTCGAGCGAATGTTTGGTATTCTCACCGAGCACTTTGCTGGCAAGTGGCCATTCTGGCTGAGCCCTCGTCAAGTCTTGGTGGTTCCTGTGATGCCTGCAGTAAATGACTACGCCAAGGAGCTCCAGACCATCTACCAGGAGAAGGGCATCTACATTGACGTTGATCTAAGCAGCGACACTTTCCAGAAGAAGATTCGCACTGGACAGCTGAAGCAGTACAACTTCATCTTTGGTGAGTAACATCTAGTCCTTTACTTTGGGGATAATTTAGTCATATGGGAACTACTGCTAATGTGGAATGTCTTTTAGTCGTCGGAGCCGAGGAAGCCAGCTCACGCACCGTCAACATCCGAAACAGAGATGACCAGAGCACACAGAGCAAGGGAGCTCTGATCCCCGTGGATGAGGCACTAGAGAAATTGATCGCCTTGAAAGCGGAGAGGAGACTTGTCAATTCCATCTAAGTGATTTGTTGAGCATCGGGAAATGGGCGTCGGGATAAGAAAGAGGGAGAGAGGCAGAGAGAGAGAATGTCGTCAGACCAACCTGCAGGGCGTTTTTTCCTGACTCTACGCATGCACACGTGGCTGCAGGCATACCCAGAAGGGCAGAAGAGAACAAAAGGGGATGGGCCAGCGTTTGTACTTCCGTAGTGTAGAGATCTAGAATGAATAAAGTAAAGCCAAAAAGAAAAAAAAAGAAAAAAACGGGCACATGCGTAGAGGCTACGGGATCCAGAGCAGGCCGCAGCTGCGGGGGTCGAAAGACATTCAGGCGTTATCAAGCATCAGACGGACAAATGAAAGGGCCAGCTTTGGAAAGATTTGATGAGTCGCGTGATGCTGCAAGATTTTGGTGCAAAGGGGGAAACCGGGCGGGCGGCTTTTTGGGCATTCGTGTAATTTTTTTTTTTTCTCTTTTTGTTTATGCCCGTAGTTGCTTTTGCAGCAGCTTTTGTAATAGAGGCACGCCCGCGTGTAATGAGATGCTCTTTTGGTCTTGTTGCTTCATGCGTCTGGTTTTCTCATCTTTTCTCCTTTCATCGTTCTGCCCGTAGGTCTTGCCGTCACATAATACACACACACACACACACACACACACACACACACTTGTGTATATTGTTGACCCCTTTAACGCTGCCAGCATGCAATAAGAACTCAAATCTCACCACTCAGAATTGGATGAGGGGGCAAAAGCACCAGGCTCGGTGAGTGTAAGTAGGCGAGAGGGTGTGAAATGAGCAAGTATGTACCTATGGCAGTACGAGAAAAACGAGAAGAGAGAGAGGGAAAAGGAACCCGGGAAAAAGAGAAAAGAAAAGACACCCCCCGCGTGGTGGCGCCCACCGACCCTTTTTTTTTCTCTCTCACACAGCAAGTGGGAGCTGCACGTTGTAGTGGGCAAGCAGTTTAATAGGGTGAGAAGCTTTTTTCTTTTCGTTTCTTTTTCTTGTTTATGCGGGATGTGTGAGATGGCAAGTTTGGGGGTTTATTTTGAGGGAATGGGGGAGGTGGAGTTTTTATCTGTCCGTCTTACGGAGTGGGCTATCAGTGCAACCCAAACAACCACTCTTGTTGTCGTTGCTGCTGCTGCTTTATACCCATCTTGCCTGATCTTGTTCATGGACGGGACTGTGATGCTTTGGATGTGGTGCAAGGGGATTCGGAATTGTTAGTGACGTGACAGGAGACGGGCGGGCGGGCGGGCGGGCGGGACGGGATGAGACGAGCCGGCGTGGTCGTCTTTGTGTATTGATTGAGCCTAATGGGTACATGAGTATTGTGTACCTTGCTATCTACCAAGACTTTTTTTTCTTACTTGTTTAATTTAAAGATGGTATGAGAGTGGGTGGGTGAGGATTATTTGCTCCGTAGCGTGAAAGCCATGGAATTTGGAATTGATGACATGTATGTTTGTTCCTTATAGCGCCTCTTATTCTCTTGCCCTATTTGTGCACCCATGTCCGGCTGAGTCTCTGTCTGTGCTGAATTATATTACTCCAGTAGAATGAGGTAAGGTGAGACGATACGGGCAAATTACCTATTTGGCAGTTTCTTTATAATACGTAAAGAAGTATATATAGAGATATTACAAAGTGCTTTGTATCTAATCGGTGATTAACCAAAAGGGACTTTGTTGCGGCATGGGATTCTGCTGCGTGATGTGTCATATATGCGGAATGAATTGAATGGAGCAGGAGATTACATGTTGCTTGAAATCATGAACGTTTGGCTTCCTGTTTTAGGGAAATGGTAGATGACTGTTGTGGGTGCAAGGGAAAGGGACTGAGTTGTTGGTTGATGCCCAGTAAGTAGTGATGCCTATATGACAGATA